CTGCCTCAAGCTTTTTTCTTAGTTGCTTGCCATCTTAGCTGGTGCATGAGCTGGTGACCTCCACGTCTCTTTAGGTGGACCTTTAAGGCTTTGTATCCTCTGCAAATCGGCTCTGAGTGGATCCTAGGATATGCATGAACCAGTGCGCTCCATGTCAGTAGTTAATGGTAATACTAACCCATGGGCAGGATTAATTAATAGGTGTTTTTAAGGCACAGTGAGGTTTTGGAGAGTCCTGGAGAAGAACAGAGAAGTGTATTATTGAGTTACTTTATTGTAATGATTTTCCCAGTCAGTGAGGGGGAACAGGTCATGTTCCAGCCGGTGCTAACACCTAGGTTGGCAGCTGCAGTGAGGAATTCCTGTCTGGCTCGCGATGCTTTCTGCTGTGGGTGTCTATCCAGGCATGTCCCTCAGGCAGCTCTTGTACTGCTTATTGCACCCATGGCAGTTTCTAGGAGGAGGTAGGGAATCACAACAGCTCCCCCAGACCAGAGTCATCTGGTGTGGGGTCCCCCAGGCTCAGAAGGGCTCCCTGGTCTTTGTGTGTCCATGGGGTTACAAGGGACTGCAGGTCCCAGCCAGGCAGAGCTGCCAGACGTGAGGGACTGAAACGGAGCATGGCCTGCAGAGCCCAGCGGCCTGTGTAACTCGTATCTTCTTCTGCAGCTGATCTCCCAAGTTAGGGGTGGCCTCAGGCCTCTGAAAGCTGATGAAGCAGCCACGGTCAGGCAAGCCTGGCATCACTCCGGGTCCAAAGCCAGAGTTGGCCTTGGAAATACAGTTCCCAAACCACCTTCCTTCCCAAGACCCAGGTTAGACTCAGAGCTCTTCTCCCCCTGGGCTTGAACTGGGAGCTCTCTGTTGACCCCAGCAGCCTCTTCTCTCTTACACAGGACACTGAACTGAAGGACGTGACTGTAGTCTTGTTTGTGCCGAGCTCTCCTGCTCGCTCCACACCTAACAAAGCTGACAGTATATTGCCATTTTTATTGGCCTGGCTGGCAATTTTTCAGGTGCTAGGTGTGTTTATGATTATCAGGGTCACACCTCAATTAGGAATGGGGAGAGGGATCTTTAACATACCCACACCTTACCCTTCCTCCTCCAGCCTCTCCGAGTGGAAAGGGATTGTGCAGTGCATGGCCTGAATTCCCAAATTGGTTGGTGATATTTGCACTCAGCCTTGAGGGAACCGGCCAGCCTGGCACACAGAATTGCCTGGCTCAGCAGTGCCACGTTGCTGAGCTGTCCCTGCTGCCTCTTGTTCATGACTATCTGTGCCTGTGTGTGCACTTGCAAGTTTAATAGCAGCAATAGTTGCTTTTGTCAGAAGTGATATGCAGGCCATAAAACTCGTTTGCTGTTCTTTTTTTTCCCCCTGCTGAGATGTGAAAGCTGTAGAAAAGGCTCCAAAGCCTGTTAGCTATTTCAGATGAAGGTTACGTAAGGAATATGAAAAGAATGCATTTCATAGTGACCAGAGGACCTAAAAATACCACTTTCACCGATCTTTGCTTGGACATTGTGACAAGATTTCGTAGCTGGAGATACTGCTCTCCAGGAAATCATCCTTAGTCTAGGTTGCAAACACAGAAGAGGACAGTAAAAAGCTCTCGTGTCCAAAAACAACATAAGGAAGTTGTGTCTTAAAGGCCGATACTAGCTGTCCTTACAGCAGCCATCTCCTGTGACATGGGACATTGCCTGTAGGCTCCAGGGAGCCCAGCAGGATAAAACACAGCCCACGAGTGGCAAGACCAGTGTCTCAGGGTGATTCCAGGCTGGACTGACAGAAGAATTGAGGGTTGGGATCGAGGACGCCACTTAAGGACAAGGTTGTCTCTGGGCAGTTTGTGGTTTTTTTTCCAAGTGAGCTGAATCCAGCAATAAGAAACCTCCTGTAGGGACTGCACTGATTTAAGATTAACCAGGTAAAGGGCAACCTCGATAGAGCAGTTCATGGGAAGGAATCCAGGAGAATTTATTGCTTCAAAGATTTGATATTACATATATGGAGTTTTTAGGGCATATACCCAGGTAAAACCAACCGTGCATCACAGGGTTCCTGTGGCAGGCAGAGGAGTCCTGGTTTTTATTCCACATTAAAGAGAAGGAACTAACTCCTTTTCCTTCTCTTGACTGGACTAACCACTCAGTCGCTGTGTGTGTGCTGAGATAACGCACGTCCTGCAGCTGCCTTTGCTGACCTTGTTCAGGCGTTCAGCGATGGCGTTGGGGCTCTGGATCATCACAGGTGCACATGTATTGAGGGCATGTTATGCGAGGTCTGTCCTATTCCCCCGAGTCCTTGGCCCCAGAGTGGAGGCAGGCTCTAAGTGCTGTCTCCACACAGTCCTCAAACGCAGCTCTGAATCTCATCCCTGCATCTCGTACCTGCTGACGGTTTTCACCAGCATGACTGTCACTGGGAGGGTGTGCAAGTGGGATGGAAAATCGGGCTGCTTCTCATCCCTCATACCTGGGATGAGACCGCCCACCTCATTTCACACCAGGGGCGGGAGATGGGGGAACTTGAGGGGCATCTGCTGCAGATCAGAGCTGAAAATGCTGGATGTTGCTCCTCCCCAGATAGCTAATCTTTACAGCCATCTAGACCTCTCTCCCCTCTTTCCGTTATCTTCCTGGGCATGCTACAGCTGAGAGCAGGCCCCCATGATCAGAAGAGCAGGTCATTAAGAGCCTTCTCTAATTGTCAGTGTATTTATTTCTTCACCTTTACAACCAGTGACAAATTGACTTTCACTTTATTGTCTTATTGTGCCCTGTAGGCTCAGTCTGCCTTTGGCTGCACCTGCGCAGTGCATTGGCTGCGTGTGAACCACAGCAGAATCATCACCCCAAAGTGCTCAGAAATTACCTTTGAAATACAAGAGGGACTTAAAAATGAACGTGTTTGAAATGCTAATAACATATTTTGGCTTCCTTTGCTTGGCTTTTGGAGCGTGGTTACTTCAAGTCTTTAGTCTCTGTGGAATCATGAAAGCAAATATTTATTCTTCATGTTTGTTTTTCTTTTAATGAAAATTGGGATTGTCATTCAATCTTATGATTCCAGCACACGTGGCTTCAGGACAGACATCAGCTAACATGAGGCTTGCCAGGAAATAGTGACAGCTGGCGACAGCATCAAACACTTGTTTGGACTTTTTCCTCAATACACATATGCTTTGTGCTCAGACCAACAAGGAGGTGAGCCCCTTGATTTAAAATAAATCCTCCCAGAAGAAAGAAATCCATCTGTCTGGGAAAAGTTAGAAAATATTTTTGCATTTATTATTTTTTTTTTTATGAATACAAACTCTAGTGAAGAAATATTCCTCTGTTTCCATTGGAAGGCAGTAACCAGCAAAAATTAATGTACAGTATCAAGGAACGCTTGGTGCAAATGGCCCAAAAAGGATTCCCCACAGAGTATCTCTACGTACAGGAAAAAAGGTTGCTGCAGTTGGAAAAGACAGCCTGGTTATTATGGGGTTTTTTGCATTTAATCTCCCAATTATAAATAATCAATGTGATTTACAAAATAATTTACAGAAAATGATTGGATTCATCATTGCAATAAATTACTCGGTACGATGCCACCAGTGTTGAGAGACAATACAATACTTCTGACACCGTCAGCGCGAGGCGAGGTGTTTCATTTTTGCATTGGAAATCACGGGACAGACCTGCAGCTCTTCTGGCTGGGCTGGCTCAGGTTCGTCCCCGCCAGGAACCCCTCGGCAGCCGTGGTTCCATCAGCTTCATCTTCCCGAGAGGCCAGCGCCCCACCTAGTCTGTGGTTAGTTAGAGCTGCTATTGCCTTGCGCTGCCAAAAATGACTCGGGCCTGAAGTCGTGCAGGGCTCTGCGATCTCCAGCCCTGCCGGCAGCCGGAGAGGCAAGTGCTGGGCGCAGGAGGGCTCCTTTCCTGGTTTCAGCTGTAAACCAAAGGTTAGATCTGCGTGGTTTTGGCACAGGCAGGCACAGAGAAACAGGGACTGTGGTAGGGAGGGAGCAGGGCAGGCGGGTGCAGACCCAAGGCTGGGGCAGACCCAAGGGGCTTGGGCAAGACAGGGTCTTTCCTTGACCTCTGTTGTTCTCCGCAGGACTCAAAGCATTGTGTTTTTGAGGTTGCTGCCCTCAAACCCTCTGAGGTCTGAAGGAGCCATAACGAATTCTTACCATGCTATGAAGACCTATAAATCTGTTACCAGCCACTCGCTCTAAGCTGAAGGAGTGGCACTGGACTGGACAAGTAGATTATATGGCATATTTTAGGATTAAAGCTGGGTCTGAACTGAGATCCTGGGTCACGACGCTCCCAGCGCTTGGGCAGCCCAAGACCTTGGTCCAACCTGTGAGGCTCGGGCTCTTCTTGCCCTGACAGATCTCTCGCCTTCATACATTCTTCCCACCTGCTTCCTTCCAAACAGGTATCCGGTGGTCTTCTTCTGACCACTGAGAAGCAGTAGTGGGGCCAGTGATATTTTGGGCAGTGCTGTCCACAGCCAGCCTGTGCAGGAATGACCCCATCCCATTAGCTGAAATCTCCTGAATCCCATGGTCCCCCAACTTCCCAGTCCAGGTAGCGAGGAGGCAGTAGTGGTGTAAGGGAAGGATTTGGCAGTGGTTGCCTCTCTGAGCCCTGTGGTGGGAGGGCAGTCCTGGCACAGAAATAGCAAAACCTGTCAAAAGGCAGAAGGATCCAAATAGTGGAGAATCCTGGTGGGCCAGACTTTGCCCCAGTATCAGCTGAACAGATTTGTTAGACCTGGCTGGGGGGGTTAGTTTGCTGGAGGGTGACACCATGCAAAGACCTGGGACTAGCCAAGGCTGAGGAGCGGTTCTGCCACTGCTGCCTGGGCAAAACCCGTGTGCTTCACCTGCTGCGATGCTCCTGGGGGAGCTTCCATCTCCATCAAGCTTGGCTGGACTGGGGACTGTGGGGAGCTGGCATGGCTGTGGGAGGGAAGCCCTCCATTCACACAGCACAGTGAATCGCTTGTTCTCAGGGTCTGGTGTGTGCTGAACCAACGCTGAGAGGTGGCAATGGGGGAACAGCCAGTCCCCAGTCAGTCACTGCAACCTCCCCACGGAGGGAGGCAGAAATCTGGCCCTTCTTACAAGGACTGAGGGTTTCAGTAAGGCTTCAACCTTAGTTCTGGGACTGGGGGCTGCCCATGGCACATGCTGTCCGTAGCTGCAGGAAGACAGCTTTTGGTGGTGGTGGACTAGTCCAATAAGCAAGTCCGTGTGTTTGCGCCCAAGGACCTCTGGATGGCTTCTCTTTTCACAGTGGCAGAGTCAATTCAGGCTTTTCTCCCACACGGTCTTCTAAACGAGGCCAGCTGGTCTGCAGATTGCTAGATGACCTCCTGTTTCGTGATGGCGGGTTGCGGGATGGAGGTGGGCTGTTTTGCCACGGTTGCAATGGCTCCGGGCAGCAGCTTGTATTGCTCTGGTCCTGAGCCCGCAGGTGGAGATGGCTGTGGGGTTTCTGGAGTAGCTACAGAGAGAGAAAGAAAATTAGAAGACTTGACAGCACTGGGATCTGTCCTCAGTCGTGCCAGGTGCAGGTGTGAGCAAAGCAAAGGCTCTGTAGCTCCTAATGGCTTGTGTGTTTGCTGCAAGGCAGCCTGGACACACATGCACAGTTAGATGCCCTGGAAGCGCCACGATAACAAACATCGAATGAGGGGAGCTACTGGCATTTTGACCTGTACTGGCCACTTTTTTGGTCAGCTGAGGTCATCTCAGCCCAAATTGCCAAGTGGTGGCTCCATGTGGTGGCCCTATGTGCTGGACCAGATTCTCCTGTGTTTTTGCAGCGGGCAAAGTGAGATGTGTCTGAACCATTCAAGGGAAGGGGAGCCGTTCTGCTGATTTCAGTAGGCACTGGATGGGATCATTCATCCCTAAATTTAAGGGCCATGTAAAAGTTACAAGTCTGCCAGGGAACATCTTGTTGAATCAGTTAGTTTAGCCCAATCTAATCTAACCCACCTCTCTGTTTGTCTTTCCCTCCTTTCTGCATAGGAATTTCTCACACACTCATTATCAGAGATTCTGTCTTGCATGGAAATTTCTTTGCAAGGTAGAAACTACCTCCACAGGCATGCTGGAAAGCTCTTGGTTTCTCCTGAGAGCTCTCTGTCATCTCTGGCAATACTTACACATCTGACAATACTTACACATCTGCCCATTGTGCATCTGAGGAGGCATTGTGTTGGCCACAATGACGTTTGTTCCCAGGTTCTCCTGGATCAGATGAGGGTGCAGGGGGTGGTGAGCATGCGGCGTTTCACTTGATGAGCCTAAAAATGTGCATATGACATTAATTGCCACGATGACAGAAGGAGACAGTTCAGATGGGCAGACCCACTGCACCAAAATGTCCAAGGCTTTGTGCATGATCAGCTTGTGCATATGTGATTGGAGCGCACCCTTCCCATTTTCCTCCATGGATGCCTTGGGCTCACTAACCCGTGCCTGCTGCCTGCATTTCCTCTTATACAGGATTATATTCCTCTCCTCCTGAGTCACACCTCCACGTAAAGAATAGCACGGTGGCAACTTCTCACTTTGTTTTGTCCCATTGGGTGCTCCCAGTAGAAAATCTGGGACACTCTTTCAACCTGAGCTTTCAGACCCTTTTGTTTTGATGACTCCCTTCTGACACAGAGGGTTACTGAAACAGCTGACTGGCAGGAGTTTGGGGGTTGCGCAGCAAAGCTTGTCTTCATGCAGAGGGCTGGGGACACCTCTCTGTAAATAGGTGCACAGCTAATGCATCTCTTTAGGTGAATAGAAATGGAGGACCCTTTGTTACCATTGCCAATGACAGGGGGAGATGATTTTGTCTGAGTCAATGGCTAACCTGCATACAGGCTGTCTCCACCTTTTTTGGGTGATGGCTGATGGCTATAGAGATTCTCAAGGGGATGGTGATCAGGGAACACTGAGAGGCCTCTTGTAGGACCCTCAAGTACTCACCTCCCAGCAGCATCTCCTGCAGCAGGTTGTCGATCTTAGCCATGCCAAAGAGCTTGACAAACTGGATTTGTTCTATCATCTGCCAGGTGATGCTCTGCAGCATACAGGCTGTCTCCACCTTTTTTGGGTAGGGAACGATGGCTATAGAGATTCTCAAGGGGATGGTGATCAGGGAACACTGAGAGGCCTCTTGTAGGACCCTCAAGTACTCACCTCCCAGCAGCATCTCCTGCAGCAGGTTGTCGATCTTAGCCATGCCAAAGAGCTTGACAAACTGGATTTGTTCTATCATCTGCCAGGTGATGCTCTGCAGCACAGGCAGCAGCAGCAGCAGCTCCCCAAAGCGGCCCCGTGAGTCATATTGCCGGTCATTGATGTAGTCCTCCAGGCTGACCTGCACCTGGTACCGCATCCGCTTGATCTTGGAGGGGTCACTCAGTCCTTTGGCATCTGAAAAACCCACAGAGCAAACTATCCAGGCTGCTTCCCTAGGAACTGCCCTTCAGTAATAGCATGAAGTCTCAGTGCAGGCTGAGGTGAGCGGTCTCTGATTCTCTATCGTCTGCTGTAATGGGTGTTTTTTCTCTATTTAGGCTGACTTCTCCCCTCCCTCTAAGAACACTTTGGTCCAGAGAGGAGACCAGGCAGCATTTCCACAACTCAGGACCAGTATTAGTCGGCATAACCCAGACTAGTCCCCTCTGATGGTAACCCTCACCAAGCTGGAGCATACCTGGGTCGAAGAAGATGATGGCTTTCAAGCAGGCATATTCATTATCGTCTATCTGCAGCTCCTGGAAGGGGAGGACCAGCTCGTCCAGGATGCGGATGGCCACACGGTTCACCTCCACCAGTTCGGGGCAGTTCCGCGGGATGATGTGGTCATTTCCTTTGGACAAGCAGCACAGAGACCATCACCTTGTCATTGCCCAAGACTTATCAAGGGTGGCAAGGAGTTCAAAACCCAGGTAACCAATGCTGAGATAATTTTGAGGGTGGAGGACTTAAGAAGTTCCTCCTTCTGCCCCTTCCCTGGCTCAGCCTGCCAGAAATGCCGATCTCTGTTGCCAGAGCAGCCTCTCCTTACTCAGGAGTCACTCAAGCAAGGAAAAGCTTACCGAAGAGCGAGCGCCTTTTTCTTAAGCACGCCACACCCTGCTTACACAAACCAGGGCGGGGGGGGCGGCAATGTGAATGTTCATAGTCCCTCAACTTTGCCACATGTCGTGGCCTTGATGTGAATGTCAGCCAGGCCTAGCGGCACCCAAAGGTTGTGCTAGGTTCGCTAAAATACAGAAGAGCTCAAGCCACGCCCCTGCAAAAAGGATGCCCGCAAACACTGAACCACCCTCTCCTTCACAGCAGCAGGGAAGCTTCACAGAAGCAGATGGGCCGGGAGCAGAAGTGCACTCTTTACCTAGCAGCAAGACATCCTTGAACACCATGGACCTCTTGGCAGCTCCCAGTAACAGATGTTCTCCTGCATGTGCTCGCAGCAGTGCTACCTGCAAGGGCAGGGAAAAGTTGTTTGGGTGATGCAGAGATGGAGATAAGGCTGTAATTTCACGTAAGTAAGAGGGAAAGCCCAGCATTTCTGTACTGCACTCAAGGATGGGGAGCGAGATCCCTTCTCCAGTCACAGTCAGAGAAAGAGGTCATAAACAGCTATAAATCCAGCAGAACCAGTAGATAATAGGCAGCACCTGAAACATCCCGTATTCGTGACACGTCATGAGCAAGACCATGCTAGACTGTCCCAGGACCTCACGCCAGCAGTGGGACATGTTCACAGTGGGCCGTTTGCAGACAAGGCAACTCCTACCAAGTGCAGAACCAGGGACCATGCTCCAGCCTGGGAAGTGGGGAGAAGTACGATCCACTACTGCGGACAGTTGCTGTCCCTCTGGGCCGTGCCCACCTCCCACTGAAATCACGCTCATGGGGACCCACGTCTGCCCAGCTGGTGGGGTCACCCTCTGGTCATTCGTTCCCTCCGCCGCAATGGGCATTTGGGCCAGGGAAGCCAAAGGGATGTTTTTCTGCCCTGACGTTAATGATTGAAGTATTTCATTTTACACCCTCCAGTGCCTCCTGAGAATGTCCTGAATCTTTTGCCCTCCTTCAGTTAAAAATTTCAGAGATTTAGGCAGAAACAGAAGTTAACGATTGGACAGCCTGACACAGAGGCTTCTTAATGTCCAGCCAGGAGCCTCTGCTGGAGAAAACAATCATTAAACATTAATGGAGAGATTCTGAAAAGTGTGTCCTGATGGGAATGGTCCCCTTTTCCAGTGTGTTATCCCTCAGCATCTGACAAAGCCAAGAGAAGTTTTGCCCTACCAGAAATGCCAGGACGACGTGTGACCCGTAGAAGAGAGCTCTGGTTAGAAAAGATGCTGATGTCTGAGAGAGGGATTTTTTTTGCAGAGGGTGAAAAAGAGTTATGCAAAATAAACAGAGTGGAGGTCCTTGCAAAAAGACTACGCACACATGATACTGGGGAACCTTTATCTATATGCCAAAATCTAGCCTCTCTCTATCGCTATCCAAACATGGGCGGATGTGTTAGCTGAGCTGCTTGTAATTACCAGAGCTGCAAAAAACTGAGCCTTCCTATCTGACGAAACTTTGAGAAGGATGGAAAAACTGCAAGTCCCAAGGGGGAGCAAAGCCTTCACGTAGAAATTTCCTGCCTAATGCAAATTCAAGAAAGCTCAGTTTGAAACCACCATTTTTGTTTCCATAAAATTTGCTCGTTTGAGCAGGGTTAAAGTAAATTACTTCAACAAGGCAAAGCCATCTCATTTGATATTTGTTCTTGCAGTGATCAACCTGAGAGATATCATCCCATTGTGAACTAGGATAAATATAAAAGTTGTAACACAACAAAGTAGCACTTTAACTTTGAAATGAAATGGCTTTGCCCCACCAAACCCAGTACTTTGACATTTTGGTGCAGAGGAAGAATGAGGGCTTGGGTATGACCTTTCCTATAAAAATGTTGGCAGAGATGATTCATGCTCAGGCAATATTTTAATGACAATGTAACAGCGTTTCCCAAGATTAAATGTTCCCACTGGACATGTCTTGACTGGCTCTCATGCCCCTTAGGCAGCTGGCTTGCACGTAGTTTTGTTCATTCCTGCTCCCTGGCATTTCTGTCCTTCCTCCTGCACTCCCCTGAGTATCTGCTGCCTCTGTTCTCACCCCGTCCTTCGAAAGCACAGATGGCATTAATTGATTAGTTTTAACGCAGCACAGTCTTTTCTCTCAAGCCCTCTGGGACAGATTGGGAGCTGCTCATGATGGGGGATGGCTGGTCCTAACAGAAGACCTATTTCAGTCGAGACGAGCCTGTGGAGCATGCTGAGAGCAGCCTCTCCTCTGTGGGAAGGCAGGGTTCAGACAATGCCATCTTTAGGCTTTGTTTTCTTCTTTGAGAAATTTTGCAGCCCCACAATTGTAAAATGAGCTCACGTGGAAACTGCTGTAGTGTGCAGAGTTATTAACCAGGTTTACTGCCTCTGTTCCAAATGGCACAAGGATGCAATGGGTTATGCAGCGCTGCCCGAGCCTCCGCTGGGCTGCAGCCTGTTTGCTGTGTAAATGTCATTTGCCATTGGAGTCCATTTTGTTTTTCATAATTTTTGAGTTGTATTTGCCTTAGGAGTTTAACAGATTTCCTACCATTTCAAACAGTTTAGCACTCCCACACAATGGCAAAGAGGGAAATATGCTCTGTGTTAACAGCACTGAATTCCCCGGGGCTTTGGGCTGCTGGGTTATTACTGAAGATCTCAGTTTTAGGATTTAGGGATTTTTGATCAGCCGGATGCTCTCACTTTCTGGATATCCTTTTTCTTCATGATGTAAAAATTACCTCTGGATCAATAGGGCTGGAGACTGATCCTAGCTGAAGAGGACCCATGCTGGTTTTGTGACCGAACGCTGGGAAGATTGGAAATACCTTCCTACCTGTAACAGGACCTGTGCTGGCCACTGCCAGAAATGCTATACCCTGCCAGAAGTGCTATCCCTTCCCTCTGGAGCCTCCCCACCATCCACACATGCTTTTCAAGGCTGGGCACGCATCATGTCCTGCAACATCTGCTGCAGACCTCTGAAATTTACTTACACAGGAGACACCTCCTTGTATCTCTCTGAGGTTACCCGAGATCCTGCAGTATAGGTTTACAGAGGATTTCAAACCACTGTGCTTATCTTGGTTATGGAATCAGCAAATGCCATTTTAGTAATTTGTGTTAAATGCAAATATATTTCTGTTTTTAACTCTGAAGAGAGATTTTCTTATTGCCTTGGGAGCAAACTTGTGTTTAGTTTCAATAATTCCACACCAGGAGAATGGATACAAACATATCCCCAGGCAAGAAGCAGAAAGAAAGATAGACAGGCAGATTTGGTTTTAAGTCTTGAGCAGACCTTAGGCTAGAAATCTGTCCTACTAAGTCTGATTACCCTAAGTATTTGTATAGCACTTCAAGTTTTCAAAGTGCTGCACAAACTATAATTAATAAATCACTGACTGATAGACCCATGCAAAATGCGCACCTGATTATGGACCTAATTTGAGCTCAGTGTTATCATGACTGTGCTCATTGACTGATTAGCTGCACATGCAAATGGCCTGTGCTGGCATTGTATGGATGCCGTTCCCAATCAGCTGCAGCAGTCAGGATAACAGAGTGGACAATGCACATTTTCTTTGAAGGTCTCAGCTGCCTGGCTCTCCTTCGGCTCCCCACTGCCTTCACCCGGGCAGAGCGAGGTGGGGTGGATGGGGGGACTTGCCTGGTCATCCAGGGGCAGCTCGCAGAAGGCAGGGATGTACTTGGCCCACTCCACCAGCACTAGAAGCTGCTGCTTCATGGACTCGCACACGTCGGAGATGTTGGCAATCTTCTTCCCTCGGATGTCTCCGTTGATCACAGGAACCGGGGATGATATCTGGAAGGAGATAAGAGATCCTTCAGCTTTCAGCGCCACGGAGGAAACATAGACAGGAAAATCCCCAGCCCATGGGTTGTGTTGATGCACACTCCAGCATCAAAGATTATTTTTTTCTGTTGCACATCCAGCCCCCGGAATATGTGGCCCAGCACAACTCATTTAAATTGAGATCAGCCTGGGGATCTGTGAACATGAAATGCTTCAGAGCTGAGGCTGTGGATCACCTTGGTAAACTGTCATGCCTTGAATAGACTGGAAAGCACAGAAGAAATGTTTCTAAAGCCAAGGTCTTCCTCCCACTGAACAAATGTGCTCGGTCAAGATCCAGGAGGGAACAGAGGGGCTCATGTAGCAGTCAGCCTCACCATTAGCAAGGACACGTCCACTCAGTGCCGCTGCACAAGCAACTTGGTCCCATCAAAGGGCAGAGAGCTGCTCCCCCTTCTACCCCGCTCCAGAGCCAGTGCTTGGCCAGACCTGCCTTGTCTGCTTTGGACAGGAGACACGCAGGCTCTACTTCTCCTCCTGTCTGAGTCAGCATGAGCACAAGAAGTCTCTGCTGAAGGTAGCTTTCCAGGTCTGACATCGCTTTCTGTGAGCACCAGGTCAGTAATATTTGACATTACCCAATTTGAAATGCGAAAGACAGACTTTAAAAACAACAACCTCCCACCTCCCCCCAGCTTTTAGGCCCTTTTGGCAAAACTGCGCATGTGCAAACATGCCCACAACACAGGTCACATTTTTTACATGGCGAATTATTTGTGATTGCAGAGGCAAATGGGGCCATTTCATTTGCAAAGGACAAGCCTGACAACTCTGCAAGTACCGTCACACAGGGCTGGAAAGAACATCTCCCCCAAACCAGGCACCCAACCTCCTGCCCGGTTCTCATGCATAGCTGCACACCCAGCTCATCTGAAAAGTTGCCCTTAGTCACTACTTTATCCTCATGCTTCTGTAAGCAATTAACTCAACCCCATCGCTGCCCTCCGCCTGCCCTCGCTGCTCTTGTACAACATCAGCTCTTCCTGTCCTGTTCCTGCCAGCATTTTCAGCTTGGACCCTGCCAGCCTCCCCAAGGAAATGGAGTTCAAATGCCACCTGCATTTTTTTTTTTTTTTCAGGTTGCATTACCTGGAAGCTTTCCAGCTCTCAAGCTATTATTGAATAAATAAGATTGTAAAAATCTCACCATGTATTACCCTAATCAGAGAGCCCGGAAGGCTTAGCAAATAAATAAAGACCTCTGAGTGAGTGACCCAAGATCTTGGAGAAAGCAGCTCCTCAGCAGTATCTTGTTCTAATTAGCTAGGCACATAAAAGTTACCAATTACCGTGCTGGAGCCTGCCTTGTTTAATGAGTCGCTCTGTGGGAGGGCAGGAGCTCCCCTGAATTTGTCAATGGTTGTAGTTTTTATCAGCAGACCCTGCTCAAGACTTACATATGATGCCACTGCAGGACTCAGAGTCCCGGAAATGTCTTTCCCTTGTAGATCCGGTGACTTGAGACCCCATTATCTCACACCTCTGGGAACAGCACGAATATTACTTTTATAGGGTATATTAGGGCCTGCGTAGGACAAGGTAAGACGTGGGATGAGGTTGGATATGCTTCTTGTGTACAGGATTGGCCCTTGGCCCTTCTGGCATATCCTCTCCTCGGGGAGGTGGACCTTACAGCCTGAGCCCTAGCGTGGAGCCCAGACCACGGCACGTCCTGTCCTGGAGCATCTCCCAGGGCAGCCTTCAGGGTAATATGACCCTTGAAGCAAGGAAGGACATGGACTGCCAACTCGAACCCCTCTTCATTTTCCCCGGGACAAGGAGTGCTGCTCTCCCCAGCTCCCATGAAGAGTGGCAGCTCTTGCCTCCAGCACAGCCCCATCCTCACCACTTGTTCTCGCAGACGAACCCTCCCCGCAGCCTGTGCGCTCCCGTCCTGTCCTGTGTCCTCCCAGACAGTGCTGATCTGATGTACACCATTTGCAATATCCAGATTCTTAAATGGCAGTAATCTTTTCAGGTAAACGCTCTAGGATATAAGTTCTGGCAGTATGCTTGTGGAAAGGGGGAATTTCTAGCAAACACTGGAAAGAATATCTGCATAAAACAAGCATGAAACTGATTCTTCGTGAAACTGTGCAGGAAGGCAGAATCCAAAGTTCCTAACAGCCGATGGGGAAGGGAGACTGTTAAAATAGCTATTAATACTCAGCTGGCTCTACTGGCCAGATAGTGCCTGATGCTTTTGTATTTGCCGAAGAAGAAAGAAGAGGTACCTGTTGTGCCAGGACTTCTGCCTGCAGTAAGACATTAATGGAGGGCAAGCTGCTGTCTTCGTAACTTGACCTCCGGGTGCTGATTCGGTCCCGTTCATTTTGTACAGCTGCAAGAGAGTATTTTGGCTGAGCTGCAGGTTGTCCGTGGCAATGCACATTGAAAGCTAGCACAGGCTTTTGGCGTTCCCCTTCCTTAGCTGCAGTTTCCCAGCTTCCCTGCCTGGCAGGGCGGAGGTGCCGCTGCGTCTGGTTTGTGACGGGATGCCTGTGAGAGCTGACTGCATCTGGTGGTTCTGTTTTCACATTCGCTTTATTAGGCTTTCCTGGGATGGGGTCGTTTCAGAACCCAAACACCTGGTTCAAAGCCTGTAGAGTTCAATGGGAAAGTTTCCTTTCAAAGGATCTGGCTCTGAGTTTTTTGATTTCAAGATATGGGGTCTGAAACGGTGGCCATGCTCACGCGTGCAGCCCAAAGCTTATGTGTGAAATGGAGGAGTCGAGCATCTGCATGGCTTCTCTGCCTGTCCACATGACTTCTGTGAGCTCCGTTTGGGAGGCTCTTGCGCTGGGTAGGTGCAGTTGGAAAACTTCCGTCTAAGCTACAATAAGGAAGGAAGTGCAGAACAGTTCCTACTTATCTATCCAGAGCAACAGAGCGCTCATACCTTATTGTAAAGAGAGTCCCAGGACAGGTTTGACCCCAACGTGCCTCCCTGCTTGGTCTAATCTTGAGGACTCGGGCTTTGAGTCTAGTGCGGCAGCCAGAGCAGAAGCAGTAGTGCTGAGGGGGAGGATTTGCCTCTCTATCTGCCACGAGGCCGTGGGCTGGCCGTAACTCACCACGGCCATGCCAGTCAAAGCCATCTGCTCAACTAAGGTATTGATCGATGGCAGGGGAAACAGAACAGTCCCTGCCTTAGGCTGGTGGCTCTCGGGATTGATATGTTCTCAATGTATAAATCCACCTGATAAAAAGCAATAATGAGGCTGGGCCAAAAGAAAAGCCCTGCAGTCAGCGGCTGTAAATAGGAGCTCTCAAGGTTATGCCGCTTGTTATCAGTAGCAGGCCCCCGAGTTCAGTCACGCCATGATGTTTTCAAAATGTTTGCTCAGTATTAGCTGGTCATGCACCTAATGTAACTTCTATTGAATATTAACAGACAGCAGCAAAGCTCTGGGCATGGGATGAGCAGGCGCCGCAGGGAGAGGAGGATTCCTACGTTCTTCAGGAAAAGTCAAGCCGAGTTCCTTGCAATATCTCATCCCCTTTAACAGGGAAGAAATGTTCCCGCTCAGAGGTGTTCCCGCAGACCGGTGTTCCTGGGGAAGCTGCCCAGGTACTGCTGGTACTTCCCTGTTGTCTTCAAAGATCCCGTTTCTCCTAAGTTTCTCCTCGAGGGGGTGTGAACTGGGGGGAGCACAGGGTTTAATTTCTCTACCTGGAATAACAGGGCCAAATGCCTCCCGGTTGTCCCTCTGCAGACATCAACGGGGTGAGCTCTGCGGGGTGCCAGGCAGCTCCTCTGGGCTGCTCCTGGCAGTTTGTCCCTCAACCAGCAGGACCACCAGTGGGGCCACCAGCAGGACCACAGCAGCCCCAGGTTTCCTTGCCACTGTGAATACACCTGAGAACTAAGCAGGGCTAAACAAGGGGTGAATCCTGTCCTGTCGTGTCCGAGTCATGGGGACCTGGAAGGGCTGCAGAGGCAGAGAGGCAGGGAAGTTGGTGGGGTGAGCCTGGGCCATGCAGGGGGGTGGGTATCTTTACTCATTTCATATGGAGTTAAATAGCCAAAATGCTCCACCTTGCTCTGGGTCTGGGTCTGGTCTGGGTCTGCTGTGGCTGATGTACCAGATAAAACTAAACTCTCTGCAGAGTGTCAGCAAGAACCTATATGTACATTAGGAAAAAAAGGGGCAAAATGACAGCTGGACCTTTGCCAGACTCACCCATCCAGCTGTGGATTTCATGGTGACTCTGGGGCAACAGCACTTAAAGCAGTTTTTCCAAAGTGTTTCCAAATTTCCAGGCCTTCTCTGAAGTTTCTGCTTCTCACTGATGTTGAGAAGCGTTCCCCAACCGCTCAGATGCCCTGGCTACGTGGGAGCACAGGTGATGTGTGTGTCAGTGTGAGCGAGAGTGCGCTGAAGGGGCCCGGGTGTGATTTGTATGTACAAGCACAGGCAGTTCTGAGACGCAAGCATGGCCCTGCAGCGCTCTCGTGGGCTTGTCTTTGCTGGCATTTTGAGAGGTGCCCTGAGAAGGGGCACTGAAATTGAATTTGGGAGCACGCAGGGCCCCCATGCCTTGCCCTCAACTGTTGGGACGATGGCTGCTTGCAAGGACTTCGCATGGGTGGGAGTGGACAGGTTGGGCACATGCAAGGCTCATGACTGGAGGCCAAAACTCTCCCTAAACCCGCCTGAGATGGGGGTCTGGATCTGTGCACAGGAGAGGACTGTGGAGGGAAGACAGGGCTAAGATGGCTGGGCGAGCGTGCACATGGCAGGGACTGGCCTTGGGCTGCGAGGGCTTCCTCAAACGTATGCAGCTAGCGCGACTGCTGCTGGGGGGAGCGCGGGGAAGCCACACTGTCACCCACCTTCCTTCTTCATTCCTGCTCGGAAGCACTTCTTAAGCCTGCAGTACCGGCACTGGTTTCTTTTGTCTTTGTCTACCACACACTGCCTGTTAAACCTGGGAAGAAAGAGAGGTGTGAGGAGCAGCAAGACTGAGCCTGAAGGCAGGACAAGACAGAGCCCCAAGCTCCAAGATAAGCTCAGAGCAGGTTCCCAGAGGCTCACCCTGAGAAAGGAGCCCTGGTCTGTGCAATTTCCACACTTGCTTTAACCTGAGGTTTCTTCTTTGCACTGAACATCTCGGCCCTCTGCTCTACCTCTGCATGTTCAGTAAGGACGGACTAGAGCTGACAGTCGTATGCAGGAGCTCAGGCTGCTGGTCTTACTAACCACTAGGCATAGGATGCTCATGATGGACTAACAAGCCCCAGTGAAGTTAAAAGTGTGAGCCAAGAGGGTCAGAGCCAACTTGGTAGCCTCTGTTTTAAGTTAGATCCCAGTTAGAAGGGAGGAAGAATGCATTTATTCTGAATAAAAAAAGGGTGGAAGGTTGTTCTTGAACTAGTAAGGTTAAGAAGTGGGTTTAAGTCCCTGCATCTCTCCAGGGCTGCGTCTGGGACCCAGGCAGGTTGGTTCTGACCTCTGGACAGCATTGCTGGTGTGCAAACAGCTCTGCAGCCACCTGTGCTTCAAAGAGGACTTGGGAAGCAACCAGCTCCTTCCCTCCACACTTGTATCACCAAATCCATTGCACACAGCGGGGCAAACACTGGTCTCCCATGTGTGTGGCTCTTGCATGCAGCACAAGCCTGGTGGCCATTTGCAGCATGAATTTCACTTGCAAATTTGCTCTAATTTACTGCAGATTGATCAAGCTTGGAAAGTAAAGACAAAGGCGTACAGAGCTGGGAAAGGGCTCCCAGCCGTGCCAAGTTCTGTAGCTTTTGAAAAAGGTTGTTTCTACCACGTTTTTTAAAGCCCCAAGCTAAGATTTGCCCAAATGGATGCCTGAAAGCAGCTTTTTAAGCATTTCTGTAGCACTTCTATAAAAGCCCTAGTCTCCAAAGAATCGGGCACCTTGGCTTTTCCACTGGAGCTGTGGGGAGGAGGCTCCCTGGGCAGCCAGCTTAAATAACCCTGGGGTGCAAGTGATAATGTGCTTCACATACACTCATAAACCTGGGGCTTCTTTCTGTCCCTCAGATTTTAGAGTCATGTTGCTCTTCATGCTCTCCAAGTGGCTGTCAGGCCATCAGGAGTAACTCACTCAAAAAGCCCGAGTGATTTAGACACTCTGAGCTGAGGATTCCTCGGTTTCCTCTGCGACTGTCTATGTGTGGGTTGCTCAGAGCAGGGAGCGGGCAGGTCACAGCCGCTGATGGCGCGGGAGAGCCGCAGGCTACCACCAACGATGCAAGGTGCAGTGCATGAGTTGCAGGAGCAACATGGGTGCCTCATCCTCAGAGACGTGCACGCTATGCTGCCCAGCTTGTTGCTCCTTAGATGTTCTTTTATCATGTAACAGGCAGTGACAGCATTTTAGGTAGATGGCAGACATACTTCCATCTCGTGATGGAGAAGGGATGGGAGGCCACTGAAGTGCCCCTGTAATAGGGCTTCCCCCCTGGCATCACCTTGCTTGCTGGCCGCATCCACGGTTGGCCATATCCACTTGCAAGAACATGTGCTTGGCCCCTACAGAATGGGGCGAGACCTCCTAGTTCCCTGGTAATCACTGGAGGGCAATCCCAGAGTGAGAGCGGTCTCTGACCCTTCCCAGCTGAGGGGTGGGGTCAGGGAAGGTGGTGGGGGACGCAGGGAGGATGAAGAGGATGAAGGAGCACGCTGCTGCGCTTTGAGGGCTTTGCCGTTCAGCTCCTAGGGACTATTTTGTCTCAGCCACACGACTCTGTCCCCTCTGTCCTTACCTGCAGGAGTACATGTGGTTCTTCCGGACGCTTCTCCTGAAGAAGCCTTTGCAGCCATCGCAGCTGGAAGCCCCATAATGCTTCCCCGTGGCGCGGTCCCCGCAGATGGCACACAGCGCGCTCACCCCGATGCTGTTGGAAGTGTTGAGGTTGGCTGCTTCTGATGGAGATGTGTCTGCTTGGGGAAGAACATAGGAAAAAGAAGACGGTGAGACAGCCAGCCATTTCCTAACTCAGTTTCCAGTGAGAGACTTGATTTTTGGAGGAACCAGGCAGCTGCAGCCAGGCTGTGCAGCAGGGGCCGGTCAGAGAGGTGTGTAAGGAGTGGTGGGTGCTCCTAGTGTCTTAAGTCATTGCATTTTGAGTGTGCAAAAGCTCCCTGTGTGCCAGGGTGAGACAGCTCTTCCCAAAGGCCTGACCCCAGCGACGCCTTCAGACAAACCCATTTGCAGGAGTCACAGAGCAGAGCCAAAATTCCTCGGGGATTTGCAGATGCTTTGGTCTGCAGTAGCGCGGCCAGAGAAAAAGCTGGTGCTGAGGTATTACAGCTCAGGGTGAGCAGCTGATTTATTAGAGGGGTGTTTGTGTTATAGCACCGAAAGATCCCAAGACAGCCCTGAGCAGACGCTATCAGAGAAACGAGGTGACCAGCTCCCTTCGCTGGAGAGCCTCTCTGCCAGGCAAGGAGCTCCAGCCTGCACGGCGGTTCTTCAGGAGAACAAGACTTTAAATGCATAACAAACTCAAATGACTTCAGCTGGAAAACTCATGTGGGCAAACGCTACCCATGCAAGGAAGGAGTGATCAAACTAACCCAGAAAGAAAGGGTGACGCTATAGCACGGAGGAGGCTGTACGCTGGGTATCTTCCAGCGTCTGGTAGCACCACAGCTGAGATTGATGTGTCTTACAGTCCTTACAGACCGAGGGGGGCTGGCAGTTGCAGGGCTCTTTTGGGAGGACGGGGAATTGCAGCAGCCTCTGTAGGAAAGGACATCTGAAAGGCTCGAAACCATACAAGCCCTACACTAAAACCCCTCCAGCAAGCCAAACAAACCTCAAGGCTGAAGGGATCAGCCCTTAATTCAGTTGATCTAATTGTCCCCTCCCATGTACATTTTCCTGTATCAGCACAGGCGCATTCCCCTGCCTCAGTGGAAATCCCAGTTGCAAATGATACCCAGGATCTACAAAGCCATAGAAACCTGCTGGGATTTTAATACTTGAGTCTGTTGGTCCCTGGTCTCTGGGTTTGGCAGGGACACAGTTAACTCTCGCCCCGGGAGGGCCACAGCTGCTCCCAGTTGGCACCCAGCAGAAAGGGGGCTGGGTGCTATAAAAAGGCTGGTCCCAGCCAGGCTCTCTTTGGTGGCTGGAGCATGGGTGCTGGGGGTGGGCAAGGCAATGCTGCCTGGGGCAGGGCTGCAATTTTAGCTTTTATTTTGCAGAAAAAGGGGTATCGCAGCAGGCGCTCCACAGCCTGCTCATGCCATCCCTCGGCAGGAGTAACTGGCGTGGATCCAGCAGCGAGCTAGCGCAGGGGATCTTGAGCCAGCCCCTTCCCTGGCTCTGGCAGCACCTTTCATTTCCCTGCCTGCTTTCTGTCTTTCTAATTCCTTGTGTCCCCCCTATATTTCTTTCCGAGTCAGTTTGCTGCCTCTCTCTGTCCCTGCCTGGCACACCCTGTCACACAGCTGCATTTCTGTGCATCCAGCACTGCCTGTGCAAAGCTCCTCTCTCCGCTCCCAAAGCCCTGAGCTCCTCCCAAGCCCGTTCTGGCTGTCTCCTGTCCCTACAAGCAGCTTGCCTCTGAAAACATCCTTCCTCCCAACGCATCCCGAGGGCTCGGCTGGATGAAGGTCATTCCAGAAGGAAAGTTAGATTTCCAGTTTCAGCTAAACATAGGACTTACACGAGAGAAGAAGAGCTGATCTGCCTAGAATCACATTACTTGGGTATCTGTGACAGCCCAGATAAATCCCTTTTTAGCAGTATATCATGCTGTAATCAGATGAACACAGAACAGGAAAAACTGGCACCATTATCAAAGAAATTACAACATCTTAGTCTAATAGCCAACCAAGAATGAAATTATTGCCTAATGGATAATTTTCCAATTAAGTTTATTTCATAGTGCCAGAAATGTGGGCTTCTGACTGCTGCAGTGAAGTGGGTTTAATGGGACTGATTTGGAGTTAAGGCAAATGGAGAAAAGAAAAAAATCCGACTTTAAGTTTGAGGCCTCACAGCTGAGACTTGTGTTAGGACAGGAGCTCCTCGAGAGGTCCCCAAGCCTCTCTGAACACGGGATGTGTTTAGTCTGTGACGGTGGCAAACTTGGTCACTGCTGAGCAGCCACCTGGGCTGGAGCTGCAGAGCTGTGCAGGGCAGGAGCTGAGCTACCCTGCAGTCCTCGGCCAGAAAAGGAGGTTTTGCAGGCGGAGGTGCAGGCAGTTGCTGGAGTGCCAAAGCAGCCCTGGAGGCGAGACCTGCCCCTGCTCTGGAGCCGGGCAGAGGAGGAGAAGAGGTGTTGGTGCAGCCTGACCCAGCTGACTCCTCCACCCCTAGGGCATATTTCATATCGCACCTGATCTCGTCATATAAAATTATCATGTCCCTCTGTCCCGTGGAGCCCTCGGTCTGGGGGGGGCGAGTTGCAGCCCCCCACGCAGGAGCTTGTGCGTGCTGG